TTCATCTTGTTAATGCATGTGTTATCCTCTCTCCTATAATAGGCAAAGTCTTAGGGAAGTATAGAAGGGATCGAGTTGGCAAGGCAAGCTACAAAAATTTCTCATATGTACTTTGTAGATGATTGTTTAATATTTTTTGTAAAGTTGAAGTAAAAATGTTATAGGTATTACAAAATATAATAAAAATGTTTTAAGAAATATCTAGTTAACAAGTTCTCTTACAAATAGTTCAATGTTGTTTAGTAGCAATATTCATAGAAGGAATAGAAGAGTCATACTTTAATTGCTTGGAATGAAGCAAATGAATATGAATGATAAATACTTAGGGTCCAAATTGTGGATAGGAAGGAGAAAAAGATGAAGCTTATAGTGACTTAGTTGACAAACTAAAACAAAAACTTTTATGGAAGGATCCATTTCTCTCAGGCAAGTAGGACCACAATGCTCAAGTGTCTAGCAAAAGCTTTGCCTAAAAATTCAATGTTAACAACCTTGATTTTACAAAAAAAAAAAAAAACTTATTGATATGGAGAAAATACAATTGAATTTCTGGTGGCAATGGAGCTCTAAGAGGAACACAATCCATGCTGTCAATTGGGAATGGATGTGTAGGCAAAAAAAAAAAAGGAAGGAGGACTTGGTTTTAGAAAGACAAGTGCTATAAACAAAGTACTGTTTGCAAAACAAGTTTGGAGGTTCTTTAAAGAGCTAGATAGGTTGTGGATAAAAATCACAAGAGCTAAATATATGATATGTGACTTAATTTTTACCCCAAACCCAAAAGAATCATACTCACTTTGGTGGAACAAATGCTACAAATAGCTCAACATTTGAAGTATGACTTTATATGGCGAATAAAGGGTGGTTGCTCTATAAAAGTTTTTCATGACTCATGGATTTCATCTATCTCTAGAGGATAGATAAATCAGGGGAATCTAGACCAAGGGCAAATGTATGAAATGAAGGTAAAGGATTTGATGCTTCAAAGTGGTTAATGGAATATACAACTATTACAATAATTGCTTCACTTCAATACTATCTTAGAAATCTTAAAAATCCATCCTTGTACACACCTGTTATAAGTGGATAAACTTATATAATATTGAAGTATTACCATTGACTAGTTGTGGTAATAGGACTATAGGCTCCACAGTTGTCTAGATAGTAGTGCTTGTCCAAGGAGGACCACAAACTCTCTATGTAGAGGCCATAAGCCACAAATATCTTTAAACTTAGACTTGAGTCATGGATACCCTTCGTGGGATGTGAGACAAAGTAGATAAAACAAAAACGACCTAGAAATAGAACCATTCTAGCTACCAGTTTTCGGGTCAATAGTTCGACCGTCTAGGTCGAATGGTTTAGACGGTTTGAATTAAGGCAAACATTTCTCATATAAAAGTTGTATATGAGAAAGGAAAAGAGATTATATTGTTGACTGAGAAAGAAAAAAAAGAAAGAAGAAAAGAAGGAAAGAAAGAAAGGAAGGAGAAAGGAAAAAAAGAAAACGGGAGAAAGGAAAGGAAGGAAGGAAGGAGGGAAGAAGAAGGAAGAGGATGAGGAGGAGAATTTGACGCTCACCGGTGACAAGAGACATAGATCTCAAATCTGGGATCTCCTTTTCTGCAATCTTCTTCTTCTTCTTCTTATTCTTCTCTCTTTGCATTGGATCTCAAATTTGAGTTTGTTCTCAAACTCTCAGTTTCTCCCCTCTATTATCTACAACTTTTTTAAACCATGAACTGCAGTCTGGGTCGAACGAGTCGACAATTTAACTCTCAGGTCAGTGGTTTTTTGACCAAGTCAATGGTTTCTGACCTAGGTACGGGTTAAGGATGAAACGTAACTAATTGTTTGGATGATTTCTTGGCTGAATGGTCTGACCATCTAGGTCAATGATGATTTAAAATAATTGGATAAAACAAGTCACAGTCTAAGGGGGAAAATAACTGAAAAAGTTTTGTATGGGAGATCTTGTCTCCCCTAAGATGACACATGGTAGGATCCTATAAGTGTGGGAATCAAAGTGAATATATTCCCTACATTGCAGCTCAACACGTGTCCTCATCAGAGCAACCTAGGGACTAAAACCTTTAACTACTTGATGAATATTCTTGGATTCTTGATCCTTACCCATGCATAAAGTGAGCCCTCCTTTTGTTTATAAATAGTAGGGTTCATGACGTGAAAATGGGACATTTGAGTCATTCGATATCTTTGGGGTCATTCCGTGATTCAATCACCAGTGACCTAACCTAGAGTTTTTTTTAGCTTTAACTATTCCATTAGTTTGAGAAGTTGAGCATTCTAGCCTTAGTATCATTCCGTCTCTTTATTCCCTAAGAGTTCCATTCTCATCTCCCCAATGTAGTCTTGCCTCTAATGCCTTGTTCTTCCCAACATCCTACACTCTACCTCCAGAACTTGGACCATCTCCACAATGCCATGCCTACATCTACTAAAGGACCAATTCCTCTAGAAGAACTCAAAGTCCCACCAATTTTCAGTCAAGCCAACATATTTATGTTTTACTAGAGATGGACCTTCCCCTTTAGTACAGGTGGTGACTTGGAACCAAATATGGAAGATGAAATGTTCCTTTTGAGTCCCAAATTTTCCTTTGGAATTTTTTTTGATGCAATGATCATAAAAAAATTGCATTTATTGCATGATGATAAAATGTGCACTATGTGTCAATAGTGCATGAAAACACCTCAACACTTATTTTTTTACATTCCATTTTGCAAGAGAAATGTGGCATGGACTGAATATATGCATGAATGCAAACATCCATGAATATGAACACATCTACTCTCATATTCAAAAATGGTTGGAGATGCTATCATCTTAAGTATCCAAACAAGACAACAGGTTTTCTCTCAGAAAAATTGGCATAACGTTGTTTAGTCTAGGAGGCAAGGAATCAAAAATTACATGGCAATTAAAAACTTGATCCAATATGGGTGTTGGGATCAATTAATAACTACAACCCTATGCCAATGCTAACCATAACTTCCATAGAATGAGTTAGAGATCAACAAAGAACTTCATTGATTATATAGATATGATATATAGAAAGAGCTTTTGCAACATATGTGATAATACAAAGTGAGTGCAGGGTACTAGTTGCAGCAGTAGCTAGGGTGTAGGAAAAAAAGCTATTATCAAGGGACTTCAAAAAGCCAAGAGAAGAGACATCAATCACATAATTGTTTTTGTGATGCACAGGTAATGGTTCATATTATAAATAATGAATAATGTAAGTGTGATTGGGCTTAAAAGTTGTACATGGATACCATATGGCATCTTATGCAATTTTCTGATATATGTAAAGTTTGATATATAAATATAAAAAAAGAACAAACTAACACATGGATTAGCTACAAAGACATGTAATAGAGGCATACATCTGTCCCTTAATGGTTTGAATGTAAATATGTTTATGAAGCTAATATAAGTCATTATCTTTATGCAAAAAAAATAAAAAATCATCATCGTCATCAACCGATCCTTTTCTCAACTATATGGGGTTGGTAGGTTGAAAATTGCCATACTTTAAGGGGGTGTTTTTTTTTTTTTTTTGATTTTAAGAGGGGGGAAAGTTGTCAATGGGATTTTGGCTCCCATTGACCAAGAATCCCATGTTCTTTTTTCAAATTTATGTGGGGACCGGGGAAAGTTTATTTTCCTGTGTATCACTTACCCAATGGGTAAATAACTTTCCCACGTAGGGGGAAAGTTGCTAACATTTGAATGGGACAAAAATGCCCTTTTTAATAATGGATTTTTATGGCTAAAATGGTCATTGCCTTATTTACATGAGAAATAAAAGAACATGGGTAAATGTACTTACCCGGATAAGTGTTTCCCAGGAAAAACTTACCCATGTAATTGTATTTATCCCGATAAGTAACTTACTGAAAAACGAATGAGGCCTAAATTTATAATATAATTCATAGTCTCATTATCATTATTCAATCTTTACCCAACTATATGGGAACTTATCAAAAAAAAAAAAAACTATATGGGGTTAGGTAAGGCTGGTTAGTTATATTTAATCCTATCTTACCATTTCATTCTATTTAATGTCATATTGTTAAATTATTAACACTTGAATCATGCACGCGTCATTATCATCATCATCGAAACCTTGTTTCAACTTTCAATTATACATGACTGTCTACATGAATTCTATTTCTATGAAATAACAATTATCATTGTCATCATCTAAGCCTTGTTATCATTATCATACATCATCATCATCATCATTATCTAAGCCTTGTTATCCCAACTATTTCTATGAAATAGCAATCATCATCATCTAAGCCTTGTTATCCCACCTATACATCATTATCATCACCTAAGTCCTCTCCCAACTATATATAAAATATGAAAGTGATGTATAATGGTTATCATGCATGCATTATTAAGCCTTTTGAGACTTAATGATACATGACAAACATGATATGCAACATGACTAATCAAACTCTGCCATGTCAACCATTAAAAGGTGTCCAAGACTAACATAGGAATTTACAAACAAATGATGCACCAAAGTCTTCTATTCAATCTCATTTTCTTGACAACCAGTCATTGAAAAATGTTTTTTTTTTTCACATATATATATTTGGTCTCAATAACTCGATTCTCAATAACCAAACAGACCGTCAAACATCCACCGTCCAATACGTGAATTGAGAATATTCTCTCTACCATATTCATCCACTAAGTGGGCCCACATAGCGGCCGATCATCCTTTGCCAGTTGCCACCCGTGATAATTTTTTACAGTGAAATAGTTGTCGGTATAGAAACTTACAGTTAGTTTTCCATTTCGGTGATGTTTAAATTTAGAAAATAGCTTTTCCCGTGGTATTGGATTGCAAACCGTTGATCCAATGTTTATATTAAAGCTTGTTTTTAGATTCTGATCGAACGGTTATAACGCAGTAATATACGGTCCGTTTTATTACTGATGCTTCACTTTTCAGTGTTGAGCTCCATAGCTGTCTGTCGGAGAACGAAAATCTCGGCTTCTCTCTCTCTCTCTCTTTCACTCTCGACTCTCGAGACTGGAATAGAAATTCCATTAACACGATCGATCAACTACTAAATTAATCTCCTAGAAATCTGTTAGTACAAATCTAAACTGTTTTACGGGAGCTCTCTCTCTGGTGTAGATTTGCTTCCACTGTTTCTACTGCTTCTGTAGCGTGTGAGAATCGTAGTAGAAAGAAAGATATAGAGGAAAGATTTATATTTCCTTTTTTTCCTCTGTATTTTCTTGATTTTTGTCGTTTTTTTCCTGTATTTTGGGGAAAATGCGGGATTTGTTTAATGGAGGCGACTGGAAGTTGCGGTGGAAGAACAAGGAAAGCAATTAGAATTCTTAGATTTGCTATTAGGGCTCAGAAGCCTAGCTGCAATGCACGGGTTCAGTAGACTCGGTAATGGAAGGGCCAATGGAGTAAGCCCTCCATTGTCGACGACGCCTTCGCCTCCTTCGTCACCAAGATTCCGTCACAGCCGGAGCAAGAATGCGAGCTTTGGCAGCCGCAGCCCGAAGCTGCACACTTTTGCTGAGCGGCTTGTCTACATCGTTCTTTCTGCAGTTTACCGGAAACGCGGTGTTCTGCTATTTGCTCCGTTGGTTTACATCTCTGGTATGTTGCTGTATATGGGTTCTTTGAGCCTTGAGGTCGTTGCACCGGTTGTCGTTGTCAAACCGGCTCCGCCAGGTTCTACCTACCGTAGTCCTCAAGTTTTTGAGAAGCTTCGGCCTTTTATGCAGGACGATGGCAACCATAGCTCCAATGCGGTATGCCTGGGTAGATTTTCTCTTTGAAAATGATCGCTTTTTTGCACTTTTTATTGTTTATTGCCTTCTATATATGATCCTTAATATGTGTTATATGTTTTTTACCAAAAAATATGTGTTATATGGGAAGCCGAGTTTCTGCATCTGCAATTTCATCGAGTTTGAACGGTTAAGCAGCAATTATAAGTTATACTTACTATATGTTTTTTTAGTAAAAGTAGTGATATATCCCAAATATCTGTAACGGGGAGGAGCGTATGTTTATGTAGTTAGGTTTCAGTTTCCGTTTGCAACTTTGTTTGTTCATTCTGTTCATCGTAAAGCAACATGACTAAAATGAATCAATAACAATAACTTAATATTCTCAAGGTGTTAAAACTATTTACTTTCCTCTTGGTTTGGTTATTGCGTTACATCCTCTTAGTTTAGCTGTGTTAATTTTATTTTGGAAATTCCCATGAATAAATTCGTTGTTTCACTTCCTATTGATGTATGGTCCAATGCATATTTCAGTAATAGAGAAACAAACTTTGATAAAGCTTAGAAATCCACTATTGTAAGTTTATCTTGGTTCTTGGTAGAGAGATCCTTCAGTCCAAGTGAAAATACTTGGTCCACTGTCCTGGCTTACATTGCTCAATTGATTGAAGGCTATAGGTTTGCAACCTGTGAGGGCTCAGGTTAAGGATTTATTAAAATTTTAATGGGACTGTTCTGAGGACCCAGGTTTGATATTGTGTGAATTCTTTAAATCGGGTACCTGACTTGTACCCTTGTAAGGCTAAGTGAAGATGGATCAAGTAAGGAGATAGGAATTCCAATTTCTACCAATAAATGAAGAGGTTAAGTGGAGTTTTCCCCTATCTTTCTTTATTGTTTCTTTATCTTCTTTTAAAATCCTGGAGTCTGATCAATGTGTTTTCATTTTGCTATTTACAAAAAAGGGAAGCCCATTTCTTCTAAAATCATAGCTACTGCTATAATAAGGAAAATCCCGATAAGAACAATTATTGACAATAACGAAGGGATCAATGCATCTGGTGAGATGGTCCAAGTTATTCATTCCCATTTTGAATCCTTTTATGCCTCCCTATCTTCAAGCTGATTAGGAGTTGGACCATGATAGGATTCTGACAAATCTGGCTGAATGGATGGACACAACCTTTCAATGAGAAGGAGATAACAAGTTGTTTTTGGATCTTGAAAGGGATGAAGCGCTGAGGCTGAACAGTTTCTCTACAGGTTCAGTTGGATTGTTAGAGCTGAAGATTAGGGACAATAAAGAAGAAGAATGAGAAGAAAGGACAAAAGAGAAGGGAGAAGAAAACACTTAGTTTGAATATTGGCCCTGATTAGTAACTCACACCACATTTAACACTCCCCCTCAAGCTAACCAAGATATTAATCATGCCCACCTTGCTAAGACCATCCAATGAATTAGTTTTAGATGCTTCTTTTGTAAATACATTGACCAACTGACATTTGTTTTGGTAATTCAAAAGAAAGGGGCTACATAAAGTGAGGGGTAGCCCTACCCTGAAAGCTGGTTTTCTTTCTATGGTGCATAATATAAATTTTATATCATCATCATCATAGTTTTCAAGGTGCCAAGGTGAAGCTAGGAGATAGGGGTGTCTTGTTGCTGTATTGCCTAACCTCCTAGGTGGGTGGGTGCCTATATGTTGCCTTGGTGATGGAATTTTTATGTAGAAACCATGAATCACCAAGAATTTTAGGATTCCCTAGGTTCAATAGCAACCAATAACAATATTTCATTGATAATTATTAGCGAACTTCATAAAAAAGTATAAGTTTCATATTAAACCATAAGAAATCAACATATTTTTGAGAAGAAAAAGAAGAAAGAAAAGAGAAACCCTATTTTTGTCTAGGAAAAGGGAAAAGGGGGTGGATGGAATGTGTTGATTGGATAGAATTTTAAGTTCTTCTGTGCTTATTGGTTTATGTTTTGAAGTCTTTAAGAGTTCAAGACAACATACACCAACATGCATGCTGATTAACCCTAACAATTTAGAAAATAATAAAAAGAAACTAGTATATAAACCCAGAAAATAAATATTTTAGTTTAGTAATGTCTTTAATTATCTCTCCCAGCTGGTGTATCATGTACAGATTGAATGGTGAGACAACCTACCTACTAATCTCTTGTCCATTTGTTTGCTGTATTTAGGAATGGTTTTTGCTCTTTTTTGGGTGCAGATGGAGTCACCCTTTTAGCTTAGATGGATTGTTTGATGTGTCTATGATTAGTTGCCCAAATAGAAGGGGCAGAGTTATGTGGGAATGCACAAGGGCAGTGTTGATTTGGACACTTACAGAAGAAAGGAATGCAAGAATTTTTGAGGACAAAGAGACAAGTTGGGAGATATTAATTGAAACCATCACTTTAAGAATAGCATATTGGGTGAAGACCTTGGAACTTTTCTTAGACTTCACAGTAGATGATGTTAGTAGGGATTGGGGGGCAGTTGTAGGGTCCTCATCTAAAAAATTAAAAGAAAAAAAGGAGTTGGACACCTTTGGAGTTTGGGTAGTGGGTGGGTGGAGCTGAATTTTGATGGAAGATGCATGGGTAATTTCGGGCCTTTTGGAATTAGGGTAGTAAGGGATGAGGACAAAACTATATTTGCAATGTACTCAGGTCCAATAGAAAGAGATTCAACAAGGACAGAAATTTTGGCATTAGTATTTGGGGTGTAAAAAAGCCAAGGAAATGGGAGCTGAAAGATTGATGATTGAAAGTGATTTGAAGGTTGTAATAAGTTGGTTAATGAAGGAAAAAGAAGTGGTCTGGAACTTAAGAAATGAATTTAGATTATTCACATGATATCAAAAGGCATGCAACTACAAATTAGTTGGATACAATGGTCTGCAAACAATTTTGCCTATGGTTTGGCTAAATAGGGGTCAATAGACAACAAGTGTTTTGGGCTCAAATATAAAAAAGGGTGAGGTGGGGTGAGATAGTAGAGTGACTAGTGTCTAGGCTCCTTGTTGTAATCATAACCTCTTGTTGTAACTATTTTAATTAACTAATGAGTGAAAAATTTCTCTCTGTTGCTGATAAAAAATATCTATTTAATTATTATTATATAAAAAACAAAGCATATATAAGTGTTTCATAGTGGCTTGTACAAAATAGGTAGGCGATTAAACGAGGCAACCATCTATAGGTGCCTTGTTGTCTAGGCGTTGCCTTGAGAACAACCATCTATTGGTGCCTTGTCTAGGTGTTGGATGATGATAATGATCGTTAGATTAAAAAATAAAGATACAACAGAGAGTTGTGGGCACAAAACAAAGCCCAAACAGAAACTATTCACTATTTAAGAATGCCCAGAACATAGATTGTCTTTGAGTTCCTTGCTTTGCTAGACCATCAGCCAAACTGTTTACAGATCTCCTTATCGACCTTATTTTGATCATCATGTCTTTAGAAATCTGCTTGAATCTCCTGAATTCATTTCTTAACTTCCATATGATTCCTTCCACCTTTTTCAGCCAGCCCACAACTACTTTTGAATCACCTTCAATAATCAGCTTAGTAATCCCCATTTCTTTGGCTTTCTCTACTCCATAGACTGCTGCCAATAATATCCCGTTGGAGCTTTCTCCTTAGAATCTCCTTAGAAGTAACTACATTATCCATGAATGGTAGTAAAACTTTTTCCTCCTTTTATTCAGTGAGAGAATAATCAATTTGTTTTCACCAGCAAGTGGTAGCCACTTTCTCTGGTTTGACCTCTCATGAAATGGAACTTTGCTACATTCTTTCTTGAGCATTATAGTGTTACTGTGTTAGTGTGTCATAGACCTACTCCTTTTCTATGCTTATGGCTTACTGTTTCTGTGTTCGTTAGCTGAATGATCCATCTTTTTTTAGTGAGGTGTTGTAATTTACTGCCATTAAGAATTGCCTAAAGTAAATCTAGAATTTCTTACATTGTACTTCCTTTTTTAATGAAAGTTGCTGTTATTGATCAAAAAAATTTTGCAGTTGATGACTGCATGGCATGTAAAGTCACATCAAAGTTGGAAGCATTGTGTCAACCAGAGTATTTCTCAAGCAGGTTTGAGTTTTACATAAAATTGTAGCAGTCAAACTAGATTTCTTCTAGTTTAAATTTGGTACCACTACCACATCCATGATGCATTTGCAAATGAAACTTTTCTTATTTAGTCATTTACTGCAGTGTGGAGTATTTCTTATCAACATATATTATGTATTCAATGTGAAAAGCTTCTATGTTCAAGCAGTCAAGCCTTATATTGTTGAAACATGAGAAGGATAGCGTGCTAAAAGAGCATCGTCAGACACAAACATACATGTGTTTGTGTATGTATGCTGTTGAATTATTTTATTCCTTCATGAACGGTTGTCTATATGCTGAATTCGTAAGCTGTAGCTGCATTAGTGGTGGACCATTTAGCCTTTGTTAAAAGCTATTTGAATGATGAATTCTATTCACCATTTTGGGTCATGGCTAGCATACCCCCTGTAGATAACAACATCCTTCATTGGTTGAATTCTGACAGTTTGCATGCCTTAGCACATTTCTACTCAGCCAGACTCATTAGTGTGTGCCACAATGTCACACCAAATAGCTAACAGGCTGTGCAACTGAAAAAGCAGGAAAACATCCTAATTGATCTGTGCAGTAGTTTCTTTCCTTGATTTCTTTTTGGGTATTTTATGTATTTTTTGATTGTGAAAAATATATTGATTGTATTGTCTTAACATTCAAAAACAATTATATCTTGTGCAGGTGTAACCTTCTACAGCAAGATGCTATAAATTGGGCTAGCATTTAGCTCCTGAAAGGGAGCATAAATAGTTAGAAGTTGTACATGAAAACATATTCAAATGCATCCTGAGAAGACCTTGAGGAGATTATTGATGTCTTTAGGTTTAGAATGTTTTGTCTCTTGGGATTTTGGGGATTCATGGATGTTTGTTTTGATGTCTGAATTTTGGGTTACGTGGGAGGACAGAGTCTCATTGACTTTTCCATGGCCATCCTTACTCCATTTAGAGTGTACATTTCAAGGCGCCAAGGCGAGACTAGGCGACCACAGGGCACCCAGGCGCCTAGGTGTTGCCTAGGCATTGGAATTTTAAAATATTAATTTTTTGAGTTTCTACTTTATCTATGCTTTTGTAAGCTATTTTATTGGTTTTGTGTGCTAACTAGCAAGCATGTATACTAACTATTAACTCTATAAATCATTCAAATCAGTATAAAACTATAAATTTTATATAACTAGCATGTACACAGTACACTAACTATACACTAACTAGCAAGCATGTACACTTAACTATTAACTAAAAAAAGTAAATAAATAAGTGCAGGAACTAGGAAGGGAGGAGAGGAATATAGGGGCGGAAGAAGAAGAGGAAGAAGAAGAAGAAGTATAGGGGATTAGGGGCAGGGAGGAGTATAGACCCCTGTTTTCTCAAAAAAAAGGGACTGAGAGTCCGAGACTATTGACTGAGAACAGTCAGGGGCAAAGCCCCTGTTTTTTCAAAAAAAAAAAAAAAAGGAACTGAGATTAGGACTAGCGACTGAGAACAATCAGGGGTGGAAGAAGAAGAAGAAGAAGGGAGGAGGAAGGGAGGAGTATAGGGGCGGAGCCCCTGTTTTTTCAAAAAAAATCAAAAAATGACTGAAGCTGGGCTGGAAGAAGCAGAAGCTGGGTTGGAAGAAGAAGAAGAAGAAGAAAAGGAAGAAGAAGAGAAAAACTTACCTGCTGAAGCTGAGGTGCGATGGAGTTGGGCTGGGGAATGAAGAAGAAAAAAAACACTTTGTATTGTTGTCTTAATAATAAAATAATGATAGTATGTAACTGCTTTTATTTTAAAAGAATAAAACATCTAATAAAATATCAAAATAACAAATAAAAAAAGTTATTAGATGTATGTAGGCGCCCACCTAGTCGCCTAGGCACCTGCTTAAGTCTCTGGGCGGGCGCCTAGTATACAAAATCCAGGGCGTTTGGGCGAGGCGCCCATGGAAAACTGCCTAGTCGCCTAGGCCTTGACAACTATGTGCAAGACGTGTAGAGAACAGTTGCATTGTTGAAGCATAAGGATCAAAACTAGATATAATCAACCAAATTAAATTATGTATGCAAAAGTTCTAAAAAAAGAATATGGAAAACATAAAAAGTAGGATTCAGATCTAATGTTGAGAAGAATGATCCATTGCTTAGATTAATCTGTTATGATTGCTGTGTGTTATTAAAATGAACAGCAGAGAAGTATAGGCTAATGCTGGATGTAAGAGATGTTGCAGTGAATTCAAGAGAAGGTTGGAAAGTTTGTTGAAATTCACTGTTTTTTTTTTGTAATAAAAATAAAATTATAAAAGAGGAAAAAGAAGAGAGTACAAGAAGGGGGAGGAGCCCAAGGTCCTTGAGAGAGAAAGAACAAACAACCTCCAGAACTCAATGCAATAAACAAGGCCGCCTGGACTCAAAAATAGAACCAAGAAACCAAAAGCCCAAACAAAGAGACCTACTAAAGCCACAAATCAGAACAATAAAAAACACGAGACTCAAGAACAAGAAACAGAAGAAAAAGAAAACAAACTCCAGGATAGCATAACCAAACAAATCAAATCCTCGAGACAGCAGCATAGATCTTTGATGGACCAATACCAGAACCTCCCTCAAACCTTGCATCCTGCAAATCACTGACCACTAATGCTTCTAGAATTTTTCCTGGTCTTAACAATCTTCTTGCTTGGTTTAATTCCGAAGGGGCTCCCTATTAACCTATAAAAGCCTTAGAAACCAGAATGTCCTGTTTCTTCCTCTGTTTCTTAAACCTTCTATATGCTAGAATATTTTTCCGGAGTTTCAGTGGCCATGAGGGTTTCTTATTAATCCTTTCCAATTCCAGCACTGTATTTTTCTTGAAAGCTGGGGAGCAACCAAAGCTTCAGTCTTTTCACCAAAGTCCTCTACCAAATTAGATGTAATTGATCTATTGTGGCCTTCATTGACTAGTGGAGCCTGCACTTGAAGACCTCCACTCTTCCTAACAAGCAACACGTAACTTCCCTCCAATTCTTTGAACATCCTCCTGGTAAAAGATTCACCTTCCAAAATGAGAAAACCTAGAGTTTTGGGTGTAATAGATTTTTTGATGGTCATGACTAACAAAAAGGGGTTAGACAACATGGGGGCAACACATCTGCAATAATCCGTAAAAATTAAGGCTCCAAGGGAAAACATAAAATACAAAAAGGATGAGCAGAAGGTGGCCTGGAGCTTTAGATATCATCAGAGAGCCGAAAAATTAATAGAGGACCTGCAGACACAAGTGGATTCCAAGGGCAGCCAATTGGTTGGCAGGTGACTTAGCAAAACAAGGGGTATGAAGGGATCAATTGCACTGGGGTGAAATTGGTTAAGTTTTCCTCTTTTGGTTTTGGAATTCTTAGATGGGATGTCCCTTATGATGTACTTTAACCTATTTTTTCTAATTAACAAAATTCTGAGCTGTTACTCATAAAAAAAAGAAATAAAACATAAAAGGAAAAACTTCCATATGACCTAGGTTGGGAAACCAGTCTGATGCTTGATTACCCTCCTCACTGATGTATGCGTATCAAATCTGTACTGTAGATTATTTTCTCCGGCAACATTCTGACATTCAGATCAGATATTAAGTTTTTAATTCTCCATAGAAGATTGATATATTTGTTTTCAATCTGTCTATGATAATTTTAAGATCACCTTCTATCGAAATCTCTCTAAACCCACTTTGAGCTGTCATGTGAACTACCCTTTCTGTCCACATTGCCACCATATTTATTGTTGTGACTACAGTGTTTACTTTCCTACTCTAATTAAATTCTATGTAAAGAAAATACCACTTGCCCAACTTACATACCTAAGCTAACTCCTACTACTTTTAATAAAGACCCATGTTTATATTTATCTTTCCCATTAAATAGTTCTAATAACACTATAGAAGAAGGAATTTAATGATTGGACTCCCTGGTTGTTTGTTAATTTTATGTTGGCACCTATGCATACCAAGAAGGATCCAAAGTAGGTAACACACCCAAAGTTCGTTTGTTTAGAAAGAAATAAAGAAGGATATTGTCAACTCTAAGAATTCGACTAATACAAGGCTCAATAGAAAACATTGGAAGGATGGTAACTATAAAAGTGGCATGGGCTGGCTGGGTAAAATGTTGAGAGTTATAAGATGAAAGCTCTGGTGGAAAAACAAGCATAGGTTGCTATGAGAATGAGTTCCTGAGGGGTGGAAAGTGAAGGTACCGAACTTAACATAAGCATACTATTTCGTGAGGTGGAGAAAAGAACAATTCTACAACAGAAGGCCTAATCTACAATTAATAATGGAGAAAAATCTTTGATGGATCAAAGTTAATATCTTCAAGAGGACACTATTCGCCACCAAATGCTGGATAAAGATTCCTGCAGGATTTACATGGGGAATCAGATGATCAAAACTATGTATCAAATACAAGTAATGCATGTGATGCAGATCTAGCTAGACCCTTCTCACCAAATCTAGTGGTATGGCTTAATAATGTCTACCTTCCTGAAGCATCAACCCCCACTATAGGTAGTCCTTTTCTTTTAATCAGCAACAGAAACATTTCATTAATTAAAATTCACAAGAAATATACAATGAAGAATCCCCCAAAAACACCCAACCCAATGGAGCATAGCAACTTCTATCTCCCCCAATATAATTTTTTATAATTCAGCTCAAAAAACTTAGTTTCTATTAACCCCTTGCTTAGCTTGCATATCTGACATTCCATTTGCTGTCTTATAATCCATTGAACCTTAATTTGTAGATTCCTAATCAACCACTTGAACTTATTCATCAGATTTCTGTATGCCCAACTGGCTTTTTCCTTATTCAGTAATTATTACCACTAGTTGAATCCCCATTACCAATTGGACCCGAAAACATTGCAACTACATTTCCCTCCTCATTTCTGAGCACATCCCCTATTCTGAGAGGCCCTGAGTTTCCAACACTACTGCCATCAAAGTTCAACTTTAAGAAGCCCCTAGTTGGTCTTGTTCATGCACATACCTCCCTCCTCTTTTTTGAAGACAACCCTGCTACCACAGTCCAATTTCTTATAATGCCACCCATAGAGAATGGTAAAAACAGCTCAAGAGTATTTATCCATGTAGCTGTCCTATAAGTGACAGTGTGACACTATAGCTAGTTCTTTGCATGCTTTCGTCTCTGAAATTCCTGGAGCTCTCCCCTGATCATTGATACCTTATTTCAATTGTGCTATTCCCTTTTGATATCTATTAATAAAGTTTTGTTTTACCATAGGAAAAAAAGAAAACCCATCCATTCAAGGGGTGCTAGACTACCAAACCTGAAAAAGGCTTAGCTCAAGAGAAACTGCTATCAGCCCACCCACTAAGTCATATGGATGTCACAAAGTCCAGAAACAAAGCATTTCCAGCCAATCCAAATTGGTGGACACCTAGAGGCCCAATCTTCTAGGCAACAATTCTCTTCTCTTAAGCTTTTCTTTGCAGTTGTCAAGGCGTCTAGGCGATTCTAGGTGACAGTGGAATGCCTAGTCACCTGGTGTTGCCTAGATGATAGAATTTTACAAAGAGAAAACTATATCCCACATTAGTTCCCTAATTTGCATACCAAAAATATGCATATAAATTGAAAAAGTAGTAATGCTTTTTACTAATAACATTAACTTTCCTCTCAAAACATAGCAAAATCATCATATCTAAAAGTAGAAGCATTGGCTAAGGTAACAATTTGAGAACGTGACTGAGAAAGAGAGGAAAACACACCTGGAGGAGTCCTAGTCATATGACCAGAGGATCTAGTATCAATAACCCAAGTAGATGATGAAGATGGCTTATATGAAAGACAAGCCTTACTTGATTAGGCTGGGGTGGCAGTGTTATGTTAAGTAGTTTGCAAGAATCTCTCATACTCATCATGTGATATGCTCACCATCTCTTTCCTGGTAGCACCTGTAGGAATGGAGGGCAAGGTTTAAAATGTCGATGTCGATGGAAATGTTGCTTACCAAAATATAGGAATATGTCGGAAACATTGAGGGGAAATATTGTAAAAATTAGAGACATTGTGGAAATATTATGAAATATGTGGAAATA